TATATATGGAAGTGAGTCCAGCAAACAGCAACAGGATTTTATCGTGGCCTGGATGGTCAGAAAATAGTTGCTTCTACGTGTAAACGCCTAAGTCTTTCAGTGTGAAAAATGAAGTCTTAGCCCTAGGTGTGGGAACTTCCCATCACCAAACGTGATGATTGGCTGCTCGAGCAACGACTTCGAGGGGAGTTTCACTCATCGGGTGAACTTTATTCTTCCTATGAGCTATTCATAGGTTGTTCGCGTTACTATGGCATTATCGAAAAGACAACTGAACAGCATGACATGCGGTATATGCCCTCTGTAGATAAGAAAAACGAATGTGTGAAAATACTGGTAGCTGATTGGCTGTAAGTCAGATGGTTGTTGATCTGTTTGCCGATCTTGGTAATTTGCCTACAAACGTTTCCTCACCAGTCGCAAGAACATCATTTGTGCGTGGTTGCGTGGGAACTTCCACCTTATAGCTTGCGTAGAGTCACGAGTCAGTCGGCTGCGGGTGAGGCAGTTACTTAAAAAGCGTCAGTGACTAGCTTGGATGCTATCGATTCTCATTTTCTCGAGGATCTTCATATGCTTATAGAGGGTTCAGGATGACGTAAAGAAGGTTCAGAATGACGTAACAACCTGAACATTGATTTGGGCTTGCAGCCGTGACAATGTCACCATCTGGTATACGCACGGTGAATTTTTACGTCCAATTCTGTCACCAGAATTCAGTCGAGTCGGGCCAAATGATCCGTCAGATAAAAAAAACTTGTGCATGAATGCTGCTTTCACTTTAGTGAAAAATGATTTCTATCTTTGTTTTAAAATTCAACCAACGAGCCGCCAATTATCAATAAATAACCAAACATCAGTAACAGAGGCCAATTCTGTTTTTTATGATGTAATGCGCAACCGACAAAAAGACGTTGGTCTTGATGGGCCGCTCACACACGACACAGAAGGTCAACGTAACAGTTCGAGAGGACCTTTCGCTAGGTGGGACGGTTGCTACGGAATTACTGTAAACGAACGCCGTAGCGACACACGTGTTTAGATATAAAGGACACAGCAATACATCATGCATGCCTACTGTGATTTAAGAGACGAAAAAGGAGGAGGGGACACATGAATCAGAAGACAACAGTGACTGATACCTTGGCGTTTTCGACAATGAATGCGATTCCTCAGCGTGCGACTGTTGGAGTATCTGTAGGAGTTCTGTTTGTACCATGTTTAACGCGCTCAAGTTACCATTAATCAATGAACACAAACGGTATATTAGAGGGTCTTTTCGGATGTCACAGTCACCAAATATTTCTTCTGAGTGGGGTGGTGCACATCCGCTAGACAAAATCCATTCCCAATTTCTGGATTGTCGACCGACAGACGATGTCATAGCCTGAGAGAGAAGTCCGGAACGTCCAAAATATGCTCCAAGGTGAAAACGGGCACGAGTGAGGGTACAGTCCAACGCAGCAGTAATAGTAATTCGGAGCCGACTAAAGGGTACTGGTGGGTTGATATCACGAAGAACCACTGGCTGTTGGCTGATAAGCGTAGAAACTAAGATTAGGCGGGAACCACCATCTCGAGCACCAAAGTCGAAACCACCTGCGTGTTCATCCAGCAATGCCTCCACTGTCAGGCAAGCCAAGTATGGATTGACCGGGATGATAACATCAGTGAGTAAATGCCCAGAAAATGAATCAATCTGGTTGACTGAAGGTGGATGAAATGCTAGAACAACAGTGCGCTCAGCCCCCGGATGCATCCGAGAAATCACCAAATGATATGCCTCGGCCGGAAAAGTCAAATGTTCCGTTGCAGCCAGCAAACAAGCTAGTTCTGTGTTCTGCTCTGCCTGAGGAGTTGACACCATCGCAGTGCCGCCATCGGAATCTACCGGAAAGCCAGTGACTAGGTGGAAAAATATAAGAACGAAGGATCAGCAAGGACGCAGTGTGATGATACGTTACGGAAACACCTAAAGTGATATGGCAAATGGAAAAACAACTTACAGAACCCAACCCTTTCCAACTTGCAACCAGAGCAACTTTCTACGCAACCTTCACCTGATCCAACGCGCAATGGTTCCACATCGAGTAGTCCTCTCATGGGCCAATCCTGAAGGTCGGGAAATAGACTTCCTCCAATACGTAGTGCCCCCGACGGACGAGGTGAGTTAGTTGAAGGGCTAGGTATGGAACGAGTCAAAGTGATCAGATCGGCTAAATAGGCTTCTAAATGGGCACTATTTTGTAGTGCTGGAAACAATGAGGTTTCACCCGAGGCAGTCGAAGGTCCGGCAACCGCCTGAGCAAATGTGACGTTTGGCTGGACGTGATTTGAGACCAAGGACTTTGCTGAGCCACCGGCTAGGAACGTGATGTAGGCTGCAGGCAGACCAGAAGTTTTCGAAGCACTCGCAGTTGATGATTTACTGGGATCCGGTTTGAGTACCGAAGTAGGTGCCTGGTGTGAACCGATGTGTTCATCTGCGTCATCTGTTTCACCCGATTCCGAATGTGGATGTGCAGTGAAGTCGATCAAAGAATTTAAAACTTTTATCCGGGAGGTCGTGGAACCCCTTGTTCGTTGAGGAAATGGTAACGCAGTAGTATTCAGACCCAAGTGACTCCATTGTGCCGTCCCGAGCTCAAAGACAGTAGGATCGCCAAAATCGTAGTAAAGACCATACCTGAACGCACGAGAGGAAAAAGGAATAAGATCGGAATTCGAATTGCACATCTACCGTATGCCTGTTCGGCTTACTCATAAATACACTGATTCCCATTGGATGTCGTGAAACGAAAGTAACATCATATTCAAAACCATCTACGGTCCTTCCCTACGAACTAAGGAGAAAACGAAGCTGAAAGTTTGATTCAGTTGAACCATTGGCATCGAATCCAGGGGATGTGGCTGAACCACAAAAGTTGAAGGTTAAGATGGTCTATGATATTACAGCGATCACCTCTTGTTCGGTATTCACTGCATTGTAATCACATTAAATTCAGTCCGTTCTGCATGAGAAGTAACACACTGGGCTGAAAACAGCCAACAAAAAGCAATTGGAATGGGGGAGACACGACTTACTTGGCCATAAGATACTCAGTCATGGTCTTCAGCTCACCGAAGCAGGTTAGAACTGATGTTTGGTCTCGATAACGGGATGCCAAACACTGGACAACATGCATCAGTTGTCTGGTCAACTGGCCTGTTGGATGTGGACTGGAGTCACTTAGGAATACACCGATTAGTGACAGCAAAGCGTCCGCGCCAGATGAACACTGTGCAGTGAAAAAGCAGCGTGCCAAGAAGTCGGTTTCCGAAGAAAACAACTGGAATAAGTTGTCTTGAAAGGAGTCCACCGGCCGACGCGCATCACAAGATGTACCTAACCACATCTTCTCTAAACTAAAATAAAAGGAGTGGAAAATTAGCAGAAGGGAGTATGCCTGTAAAAAAGGTTGCAAGCAGCGGAGCCCGTAGACGCTAGGTACACCGAATGAAATAAAATTAAACTCAGCTCTAACAAAAGCGCTCCCATTTGGAAAACTTGCCGGTAAACGAGGGTCCGGTATTGCAAGCCCCACGCGCTAATGGAGAGATGAAGGTCTAAATATGGAAATAAGCTTGATCCTCGCTTGCTGGAAATACATAACATAGCAACTATTCTTATAATGCTCCGCTAGCGATTATCTTAGCGGTGTTCCTATTCAGCAACCTGATAGTGATGTCTTCAAATCCTAACCTTCAGACAGGCGTACTGAAACTTCACTCATTTCTTTTTACTTCATTTACTTGATTTGGTTGCGGAATCTTCGAGTGAGTGGCTGGGGCTGTCATCCACTTTCTTTTCAACTGACAAAAGTTACTGTTTCAAATGTTGCACTGAAACCAACGGACTCCTTATTTGAAGACTGTCGTTTGCGATCATGTTAATTAAGCAGTGAAGAAAATTGATAAGTCCACGTGCATGATGGATTCAAGTATCTCTTAGAGTAATAAAAGCAACACCTTAGAATATTACGGCTCAATGAACCTTTGAATGCAATTAAAACTACCCATAGGTTGATACACATAAAATGACCAAAGTGACTTTGGAAGGAATGCAGCCACACATGACACCGTTGAAGCGAGGCGACAACAGGTGAAGTGTCAAAATATTGGCAGTTCGGGTGCGCTACTTGGCTGTCGATTGGTTTGTTTCTCCAAGACCCCTGGTGGGGTCGTGTAGGAGACGCTGCGATGGACATTGGGATACATACGTACAAAGTTCTATGTGACAAGTATAAATGTTACTCAAAATGAGGAAACAATCGTCAATAGTGTTGAATTGTTTGCCTGGTAAAATCTAGTTGATTATTAAATGAATCATATAAAAAACTGGGACCAACTTGAAGGATTTTTTATAATGCTATCCATGGGAAGGGATGACCTGTAGCAAGACAACCCGGTATGAAGTACGAAACAACACAGTAGGATGATACAAAAAAGGAAGTACCAGGATTGACCTGTAGCAATAATGTAAGAACACACAGCGAAGCCTCATTGTGGTTTGAAAAGAAGGCGGAAAATCCAAATCTGGGGCATGAGATAGATGACTATATGAGTTTTATGGACCAGAGGTGTCACTATCTATCATGGAAGTCAGAACTGCCTGGCACTTTTCTTCGCTATCCGTGATGCTTTCAGTCATCAGCGCAGTATCAACTCAACTAGTTATAAAAATAGTCTGCATATTTTTCGAAATGCAGTGCGTAAACTTATAAGGAAAAAAAAGAACCAAAAAAGAACTGGCATACAACAAAGGCAATGGAAACTAACCCACCTCAGCAGAGCAAGGAAGCAGTTGAGACCCATCTGCACGACTTGACGATCAGCAAGAACGAGCAGATTCAGCACCAGATGCTTGGAAATTTTAGCGGTTTCAGTAAACAGATGAGAGAGCACGTCGCTGAAAAGAGATTGAAGGCAGAATCGACAAATGAGAAGCGTACACCTCGAAAACCGATTCTAGGTACGTGGAGATACGACGCATTCAGTATAAATAGTCAGTAAGAGATACCCATAAGTGGAAATGTTTCCAAATGCGGTTTCATGGATAGATATCCAAAGTTCCCTCAGAATCAATGCACCCATCCTAGGCCTAGTTAACATGAATGGATATAAAGATATTAAATTAGACTATTGAGTTTTCAACTCAGTCATAGGAGAGGTTTGCTTTTTGAAGACATGAACAGCTGATTTTCGGACTACCTTATATCAAGACTATGTTAAGTGTTCATTGTAGTACTAATTCGGAAAACCTGATGGATTCAGCGAGTGCTGAACATGCTCTTGCCGTAACCTTTGACAAGACTTGTGGTCAGTACCCTCCGAAAATTTATGATGAATCCGTTTGTACGGCACATCATCAGGTAAAAGAGCAAGCTAAATGAATCTGTCATTTTCCCGCTAATTGACTGTATCAACCAAAACTTATTCGTTTACCAGTCGAATCTTAGGAGCCAATCACTGATGTCTGTTAAATCTACCTAAGTTCTAACTCCGCCACTTTCCCGTGCAAATGTGTTAAAAGTTGTAGTGTTTCTGACATGGCAACCGGAGGTTCACATGTAGCTCTACATATTGGGGGATTTATTATTGAGTCTGACGCATTGTAACCATCTTTCATTACTATCTAACTCAGCTGCTTACAAGGGCATACTTTCTGATTTTTCCATCGTACATTTATTCAGTGCTTTGCAATGTCCCATACTGACGAACAACTTGTTTTCATTCGAATAGCTTGAAAACCAAAAAAGAGGGTTTCTCTATCTTGGTTTCACTTCTCGCGATGACCGCGTTGAAAATGGTCGTGATTCCTCATACCAATAAGGTGGTCGTCCCCACCCAAAGGAACGAACGCATATCAGCTGATTCAGATGGACAACCCTTTACGACTTAAGAGCAGTTAGAAGGTTTCATTTCTCCGCGTCTGACGCCGACTGTAAAGAAAAGGAAGCATCTATGACTTGGGACGTGAGGACAGTTCTCCATAAGGATGCCCGAAAAAAGGCCTGAAAGGGTTCTTAATTCAAAGGACCTCAAACCTTATCGGACATATCATGAGACAAAGAGCGGAACACGGCCATGAAACTACAGGCACTGGGAGACATTGCTCAACCACGCAGTCAGTGATAGACATGCATCAAAGCTATCACATTCAAAGCATAGCCGTCCATTTTTCCGTTCCCTCAGGGCAATATACATTGCGAACTGACTGATCATGCAATCGCCTCCAATACTAGGTTACATCTCAACGCTATCCCATTTTTCTACGACAGACTGTAGTAGTTGGAAGCAAGTATCTCGGGTGCACGGTTTATAGCTGGCAAACTGAACTGAGATGCTTCGCTAATTCGAGGCCCCAGGGATCTCCCAGTTGACTTTGAATGAAGCGAAATCTCTAGGTCTTATTGTTAGGTAATCGTACCGCGAAGTAAGCAGTGCTTATTCTTAAGCTAGATTTGGACTTTTACCCCCACCGGCTCATTACCGGTGAGAGCGAGTCCAAAGAAAGCGTTACGCGAAGCACAGAGCAGCTCCTTTGTATGCCACCAAAACGACAGATAACCTCCCTTTTTGTTTAGACCATTTACAGCACACAACTGGGATGCCATATAGAGTGGAACTGTTTTAACTACTGACAGAAGTTGAACTTTGACAAACCCGCGACCCATATCACTTCTTGGTTCGCCAATGTGCGACTTCTATCGCTAGCAGGGGCGACTGCAATCCGACTACTGAACATAAATAGCTTGTACGAACCATAGGAACGTCATGGCCGCGTTTCACTGGATCACAAATATACAGACAGAATGGACCCAGCATAAGCTGTGCGCGTATATAGATATCTTACAAAAACGATAGAAGAACCACAGTGATCCCGCATCTCATTGGTGCATGTTGGTATGGCAAGGAGTGAATCGATATTGAGTAAGGACCGCAAGAAGATACGATTTCTAGCCCCATAAATATAGAGGTGTTGAATGTTTTAAAGATACGGAAAATTGAGAACACTGTCTATTGCCAACGGAACAGCTATCAGTAGTGTTAGTGTTACCTGAAACTCCAGACGCGTGATGGTGATAAAATACGTCTTCTCTTTTGCTTCTCTTTTGGGTGACCCTCGTCTGTGAGTGGCCTTTTCAAATGACGCTCATATTTCGAGGAAAAAGTTTAGTGATGATGACAACCTCTTCTGGAGGAAATTTATAGGACGAATTGTTCGATCTCTGTGCAATTCTGATGAAGTATTACGTAAACATGTTTGGTGGCTGAAACGCCATATATAAGCAGGGACTATGGAGGAGCGGGGAATATGACACGGGATCGAAGGCTGTTGCAGTTTAGTTGCTGTCCCGTATTGGTGACACGGAAAAGTGGGCCAGTAATCAGTGAAGGCCACTTACTTGGGCCAGTGCAGTTCGTGATGATAAGTTGTCGCAATCCAGTTCAGCAACTGCAGCGCCGAGCGGAAAATCAACTGAGGGTGTCGTCCCAAACATCCGAATTTTTCAACATTAATTTGCCAGCGTTGAGTGCCCATTGATTCGAGCAAGCCCAGCAAATCCGTATGAAACTGCATTGACCGCAATAGTGCCAACCTTTGAGCTCGTTCATGTGATACGGGAACCATACGCGTGACAACGGGGGTTGAAGGCCGGGTGGAATCAGGACCATCGCCTGAGGAACAGGGAGATCGACATTGATATGCCGGTCGTACAAAGCAGTGCACTGTAAGACCGATCTGGTAGAACAAGTCTGATAAGGTTGACCGACCAAGCATCGCACTGCTATCGTCATCCAACTGTATTGAGTGCATTGAGAAAAAGAAAAGTGAAACATGGGGATGAAAAACGACAAAACTATCGAACAAGCATAACGATGGAAGGACATGGATATAACCCTCTTCGCCTACTACGGATAAAAACCCACCTGCGTGGTTGAACCAGGGATGATACGAAAGTGAATTCCAAACAGCCTGGACCGACATTTGAACAAGTCTGGACTGGTTAATGGCAAAAAGGCGTACTGTCCATCAGGATTGATAAAGTCCGATAGTAGATATGGACCTGCGACTATTTCTCCGTTCAGCTCACGCAGTCGAATTTGCGAGATAGGATGTCCTTGAGGAAAACATACGCATCGTCCGGGAACTATCAATGTGATGAGAAGAAGTCGGTGTATGTCAAAAATGTGTACGTCGAAAATGGGTAAAGAAAATTTCAAACTTTGTACCATTAGTGAGCGTCATGTGGCATGTTGGAATTCGTTGCTTAGATGCAACAAACTTCAATTATATTATTTCACGAACTGAAATCATGAGGAAACTCTGGTTAAGTTGTCTCACGCTTCGGTTATTGGTAGGCATGGGAATCTGATAATCCAATTCCCTGCATATTAAAATTGATTGAAATGCTTGAAATCCGGTTAAGGGCACTATCTTCTTTTCGCTGGAACCGGACCGTCGACCGTCTAATATGAGTCTTGGTCTACTCGACCAAAAACGTTGATACAACTAAACACAGACAACTAGAAACTTTGTGGAGAACTGATGTGCAATAATCCACTCTAAGATGGACCACTTCGGGGAATTAGGGTAATTGGTTTATCCTTAGAAGTGATTTCTCCTCGGGGTTCGTACTATCGCACCATCGTTCGTAGCTGACATGAAAGGGTTGCTGTGAGCTCACTTGAAGAGTTACCTTGCTCAAAAGGTAACTCTTTCATGAATTAACGCATAAAAATATAACAATCATTGCGAAGAAATTCGCTCACTGGTGAATTCCGGGGAGTCCCCTTTGGTTGGAAGCGGAGTAGGATGTGAGACGCGGGGATCTTCATCAATAAACGGGGCTTGGAGATCGTGAACCATCAAATCGGGGTCGCCAGGCAAGTCTAAAGGGTCCATGGGATCTTCGCAGTGTGAGCAGGCGGTGGTGGCAGTAGAAGAAATAGTCTGTCTCAACAGGGTGATATACACTGAAAATGAATTCTGAACCTGAAAAACAAAGATGATAGGCAAGCATGACAGGTTGAGAGAATTTGGAAGATTATTCCTCCAACCTATCCAGTACACGTAACAAAAACGTCACAATAAAGATGCAGTTCACTTACACCCGGTTAAACCTATAAGAAATTTCAAAACCAATACAGATTATGTGGCTGCTTTCAGTATTAAGTCCACTCTAACTTAGACAAGCAGAGGGCTCTAGGATCGATCGAAACAAAGTGCACAGCATATATCGATCAGTTGGGCAACAGTCTGGATGTTAATAATAGTTCATTGTAGGACTTACCCAGACGCACCTCACGGTGATTGATGATCGCAAAGCGCATATGGCATTAGTCCCTTCGAAAAACACTCTAAGGAGCATAACTGTCTTTATTTCAACTCTGGTGAATGGTTATGTTCAGTAAACAGATTCAGTATAATAATAAGCACATTTTGAATATGTTCATGAATGCCATGTATCCTTGAATTGCACTGATAAACGATGTAGATTGCGTCATACCCAGCAAGTGTAATCAGTGTCAGTATCATCGAGAGTATGACATCAGTGTTCAACACCGATGCTTCACTGCCGTACAACTGATTTATTTAAAAGCCTTACTGTGAAGAAAGCAAAAACGGTGGACGGGGAAGGAACTTAGTGCTGGCTTACTACGATCAATCCGGGGTGCCTACACGTACAGACACTCATTCAGGCAATCTGGATAGAAACTGACCACTGATATCGGTTGGCATCCACAACTTTCAGCGTCTCCAACCAGGAGCAGTGAGGATCACGCGGTCCCCATCCCCTGGAAGGCGAGTAGAACCGACAGCACCCACACGTTTCGTAATCTCCTTCATATTACTCTGCCAGGTCAAGGGTCGGCCACCTCTCTGCCTACGCCACTGATTTGGGCATAGAGAACAACACTCACTTCGGCAAACGTTGGTTCGGCATATGCAACACATGTCCCACGCTTCTGGCGCTGGACGTATGCTTCAATGGAACTACCCTTTGCACAACCGAAAACTCGCTTTCCGATAGCCTCGTTAAGGATTCGCCGACACCAATCCACGAGAGCCACGGTCTTGAGACAACGATTATCGAACACCCGAAGATGTCTCAGGTCCACTGCTTTAACAGGCTGCCTCAAAGCCATACAACAAAACAGCCTACACTGCACCTTGATACACACGTCCGTTGAGATTCAGGGATACACCAGTTTGACATCATAGGTGTTTCAAATTGGCAGACGCGACCCGGACGTTGAAGATTCGTGCATTGACCTCATCTGTCACACTACAACCAGAACTAATACAACTTCCAAGACACGTAAAACGCTCAGTGCTTCTCCCTGGATTGTAAGTGAGGTGTTCAGTAACTGCCCAGGAGCATGACCTTACATTTATTGGGTGTTAAGTGCATTCTAGAGAACTTTGATCAGCTAATTGAAAAACACCTACGCTCCTCCTCTTCGATAATAACAGCGACATCTTGTGCATATTTCAGATCGACAAGGTTTTCGTCAAAGGCTATTTGAGAACCAGGGTTTGGAGACCTTCCAACGTTCGTTCCATGATTTCACCGATCACGAAGACGATTAGACATCCCTGACGGACACCGCTTCGCGACCATAGGTGGTTCCACGTTCACCGTCCAGGGTTACACATCAACCGTGGACTCCAGATGAGTGGCAGCCGGTGGCCACTGCAATTGTTGTTCGAAATATTTGGTCCACCGGTCGAGACGCTCTTAATTCAAGATGTTCACTTCTTTCCGATGCTATGCGTGATGGCTCGCAGATGGTTTTCGCGGACCGGTTGCACGGATCAACAGGAACAATCTTCAGGCATCATCGGCTTTCTGGGCCCTTTCCACTTCCTTGGCTTTTTGTGTCCACCACACCTCACGGTCGGCTCGTACGCTGACTACCACTTGACGTCTGATAATTCATTGAATTCAGCTATGTTCGGGACCGGCTGGGACATTTCTCAGAGATTTTGGCACTTCCAATATTCTGTCTGATATCCAGTGCTTGAGTGAGCCTGGTGGTGCCATGCCACAACAGGTAAATCCCTCCAAAAAAACTCCATTCACAATTTATAAGCACTCAGAACCATCCTATATAAGTCTTCTGAACAGAAGTTCCACTTAACTATATAGCCTCACAATCTGTTGAATCAACTTCCCAAAAAGATATAAAGAAAATTCGTCCCTACGATAAAAACTCGGTTATTCATATAATAAAAATCTGCTACAGTTCAGGGTTGGTTTCTCTTCATTTGAATTCCCAATCGTACATCTGCTGTGTCTTGCAAACGGTAGTGCAACACCTTGGCCCTTGACTCTGTTCTGCCCACTATGGTGTATCAAAAGGTACGGTAGCTTGAAGCAGCTCTGTATGGGGACGAAAGACTGTTATAAGGCGATCACAGAAGTTTCACAAGATTACGCTTCAATCCTTCTGATGGGGCGAGAAGCATCTGGTCATAAATTCTCAATCCTTATTGACTCACATTCTGATCAGTCAGGGAGTGCTTTCGTTTGCTTCTTAGCTGCCTTGCGACATATCCGTCCAGTCGATGTGATGTTCAGTTGGTTAGAGTGGCTCTCCTCTGGAGAAAATCCCACCCAATGACAAAATTCCGGTGCAAAATGCACAGTTGCCAATGTTGACTCAAGCTCACTCATTGAGGCCATGCTGTGTAGCCAATGCACCAACTACTGAAAGCAAAGACACACAGCAAACTTCCACAAAAACCAACTGTTTGACTCAGTTGGCTCCTGGCGTCACATAGGACTAGAGATGCACTGGGTCCACTGAATAAACGAACACCATCATGGGCGATCCCTTCTGGACATACCACGATCATATAAAAATCAATCCAAGAATTACTGCTGCATCCAACTAGTATGGATTCTCTCCAAATTAGGCCCACGGAGGGAACTGGTGATAAAGAATTAATGTCTGCCTGGTTATTGCATGGTCTCACAAAGGCGAACGTTGAAACCAGACTATGAGTACCAGACGTTGAGACATTGTTTTTCACATAGATTGACAGGCTGTCAGGGTAAAATTCACAATATAAAGTCTTCTGACTGATCACAAAACAAAGTTAGCTCCACATACAACACATTGTAACACAGGAACTCTATAGAAATGCCGACAAACGGACACATGCGCCAAATGAATTAGATATACTGTCAAAAATAGGACGCGCCTACCTTTGGATCTGCGAGTAACAGATGTAGTCCAAAATGTGAGAGCGAATAAGCCCGAAGCAGATTGATCTCCAAAAAGTATTCAAATCCATCCGTTTCCTGTGTGCGATGGTCCCGACGTAATAACTTGGGGAGCATCTGGACACTGCAGCTTGGCTGGGGTTGCGAAGCGGTGTCGCTGTTGGTCGGTAAAAGGCCTTGTAACGCCACATGAGTCGGATTGTATTCCCACATTCGGGCCGAAGGTCCACCTGTAAGCGCTAATTGTACAGCTAGGGCGGCACCGGCTAAATTACGGTTACGAAGAGCGACTGAGGAATTATTTTTCACTCCAGGCGATGCAAGCAAATGACGTACCACCAGACGAGCGAGCACACTGACCGTTTCACTGTGGTGTGCCCCATCGCCTGTGAGGGGCGACTCGACGGACTCATTAGCTATCAGTGTATCCGGCAGTCGGCTGAATACACTGGCCTTTCGCCGAGCCTTGGATCCAGAAGCTCCAGTAACCGAATCGGTTCCGAGAGTGTCACTTGAACCTGTTGCCTCATTGCCGAGCGTGACTTCGGACCAGCCAATGGGGGCGTTGAAAGTTACAAGAATGCGCGACTGAAGTGGATGAGAAGCGATTAAACGGGTCATGATGATCAGGGCGTCTATCGGACGATTCGAAGAGTAGGCGAATAAGTGACCATTCTGGTCCATACCGTCCGTTTTGTCTAGCTGCTCAGTGCCAGCTGCTTCAGTGCTTAGGAGTAACGTGCCTCTATCCCAATCGATTTTAGGGTTATAGACTGTCAGAATACCAGATGTGTCTCCGATGCAAATAAATCCAGTCTCTGAGCAGTAGGTGATACAGGTGGGGCGTGGCGAAGAGCGTGGGGGAGATGGAAGGACTATCATGGTTTGAGAGCCCTCTGGACGCAACAACACTTTGACCAAGCTACCGGAGGTAGTTAAAAGTAAACAATGAAGATGGAAAGAAAAACCAGCAGACTCTGACACGGATTTGTTCACATCAACCTGAGGAGACGAGTCACTAGCAAGTTCACTTTGCTCCGTATCCGAACTTGGAACATTTGACAGCGGCTGAACGATGCAAACCTCCTCAGGGCACAAATCAGGAGGTAAATCAATTCCAACCAAAGCCTGTTCGCTGATGGGGGAAGAATTTGTGGATGTCTCAGCTGACCGGTAGCTGGTGTAAGAAAGAACGGAAGTAATGACAACAGAGAGACAGAATATTTCTGACAGACGACGACAATGGAAACCAAAATAAGCAATCTAAGTAGACTATGATCAATATATGGGATGGTTAACAAGGAGACCCGGTTAGTTTGCACATTTGACATAACAACTTAATGGGAGAATTGAACCGTGTCCGATGGAATCAGCGAGCATTCACATTCTCTTTCAATACGACTCCGTTTCTAACCACGCTGCGTCCAATAGCGAGTTCCTGAATAACTTTTCAACCATAAGAGTTCCTGAAGGCCTTACGTTTCAAACGTAAACCAGTCATGCTAACCAGGAAATTAACAAGACGCTTAAGCCACTGTGATAACTTGGAACGCATCGGCGTGAGGTGACCAAGTCTGCTTACCTATGCAATCCGCAGCACGCCAAACGATAAACGGTGTACGCGCATGACAAAACCCACGACAGTGAGAAATCCCTAGGGAGAATCGTCGCGGTGCGCTTGTAGAAGCTTTCATCGGTTCACTAGGAGACGAACAAACACCACAAGTAGTGCATTACAACACCCCACACTAATTGTATCATCTCTGACTTAGGCAAGTAGTCTTCCAAATTCAACTCAGTCCGATTTTTTCGTGTCGATTTGAGTACTGAGCCTGGTATTCTGTAGTCACAAAACATGGAGATGTCGCAGGTAGAAAAGTGTATCACATAATCCGGAAATCGGTGTTCCAGACTGCTGACCCAATGGAATGAAGAACTGGAAAATCTGAAGACACGTTATTTAGCCAAGAACACTGCATACAATCTTTCTTTAAAATAAACAGTTTTCGCTTGTTTGTATCAAACACAAACGGCCAGACAACCCCCAAACTCCTCACCTGTGCACGTAAAGGGAACCACCAAACACCACTGCAGAAGATTCACAGGTCGGAATTGCAGATTCCTGCGGTGGATAGCTACAACAAACAAGGATACTTTGTTCACCAATACCATCCGCAGTGACAGGTAACAAATGAAGGAGCCGTGACTTTGGCGGAGCACCTGCTGCGTGATGGAGTGATGTAATACCAAGTATCTTCGGCATCCTGAAGGAAAGGCGTGGATCACCTGTCTCAGTCAGCTCAGGCAAGGCTGCCGGTGCTGAAGGGCCACAAGCTTGTTCTAACTGTTCCGAGAAAGGATGGCTTTCCACATCACTCCCTCCAAGCGCAGAAGGAAGACACGCATCAGAATCTCCACTGGGAGTTGGACTGAGATGTTCGTTGGCTGCCAGCCGCACCAACGATGGCTCAGCAAATTCCTGAGCCACACTGGACAGGCCAAGCGAAGCGTAGAAAGTGATCGCGCCCTTTTCTTCAAGACATGGCATATTCGGATATGCCATAAGTTGCTGATATTAGAATGGAAACCAAATCAAGTAATAGGAAAAGTCCTCAGAACACTGTTCGACTTGAGTGTATCAAGAATAAAAAAACAAAATTATTATAGTAATCCCACCTTATACACAACAAGCTGTCTCTAATTTTGGAGCACTGCTTAACTGTAGGTCCAGTCCAAAACGAAGTTAAAATGTAAGAAGGGTATAAAAAATTTGATTTATGGCTACCATTAGGTCTCACGAGGACTTCAAAGACAAGCATGACTATCGGTTGAACACAGGGTCGATATCGCAAGAATCTTACTGAGCTATGTAAGACTACTAAAGTAGTTCTCCGCAATGTATGACAATGGCTAGCAACGTATATATGATGAGTTCGTCTGGAAGAAAACCTGGCAAACCTTGTCACTTCTTGATGGCCAAAAACGTGTTACGTGTTAAACCGATATAGTATGATGTTGCCCTCGTAATCTGTCCTGCTAGCTTTCCCCAAGACATCAGGTAGACTTAACAATCTGAAACACAGATAGCTCCATTTGAGAACTGTGCAATGATTGCGTGTTCGTCACGGTGTAAGCCTCTTTGGTCTGCAAAGACACAAGAAAAGGGTATTGTTGTTCACCTAGACCAACTTCATTTTCCACCCAGGTCAATGAGACTCGAACTAGGTGTGGAAGTGGGAATTCATTTCGGACCGCAAGGTCTGCATTTAAGTGGAGATAACTGTCGCGTGTTTCAAACACGTCGGTTTGCTTGACACAGACAGACTACACCGAAAGGCGTTACTTTCTCTGAGGATAATTATTTATGTTATCACTACCAAGCACAATTACGAACCCGGACCGTGCTATTCCCTCTTGGAAGGTACTGGGAAAGGTGAGCCAAAAAACGAATTGTTCTTAAGAACTGAATACAAAAAGTCATAAAAAGTTGCCCTTTTGAAGGTCTGAACCTAAGAAAGACGCTACAAAACTATAGCTCACGAACCTCTATCACTGCTTTGGATTGATCCTCTGCCTCGGTATCCGCTTTCAAATCCTCTTCGTCCGATTCGGAGTAAGCGTGGAATGCTTGATGCCCCTCTTCGTCCTCGCCATCACTTTCATGTTGAGTTAACTCATGAGTCACCGAATCACCGTTCGGAATCAAGAATATTGGACCGACCTGATCCGACGTGCCGTCTACATCCTGGAAGTCCATATCCTCCGAGTTCGGTTGTTCCATTTCCACATCAAAACCCTCGTAGTTCCCGGAGAACACATGCGACTTTGCAGATGGATCAAAAAGCGTTAGGGTTGGAGGAGAAAGGTACGATTCACACAAAACGCCTACTTCAGGTTCACTCATGATGCGTTCCCTCGGTGAGACGGGAATATTGTCTTGGGCCCAAATCAAACTCATAGCATTCAGGGGAAACAGTCGAACAACGACTAAACACAGGGATGAAGAGTTTCCTGTGGTCGCTAAAGACTGCACGGGAGATGGTTGCATTGAAGCAACGTTGACCAGCGTTGAACGTTGCACAGAAGCGATCACATAATCGGGCAAACGACAGCCAAGAATTAGGTGGTGCTCAGCAGGGTAGTGTCTCAGTGTTCCTGGTCTTGGACTATTCACAACTATCCTATCCAGGCTCTGTGCAGCTGATTTGGGGGCCAGTAGACATGCACTGTGGACTTCCAGTTGTGAAGCATTAACATCTAAAAAGAAAAGCACAAAAGATACTTTGTATCGCCAGTACGAATCAAGCAAATAAGTAAGGATCGCCAAAAATTTCGAAAATAATAATATTGATCAAGAAGACCTATTAAAAGGTCGGTCAAGACCACGAGGTTGAAAGAGCGAAACAGGTTCAAGTAAACTAGTCGCGCTCTCATTCCAGTTGGAAATATAAACCGCCAAACACGATTATCAACTTCATAGCTATGGTGATGAGTATGCATACCAGCTACCTTGTCGACGGAGAAACCTAGACATCATCATCATCATCATCATCATCATCGAGGACAGCAACATCAGTGTTGCCACTGATGCTTCACTGTCGTACAACCATAAGGTTTGTCTAGTTATATATATATATATATATAATTGTATTAAAAGCCCTACAGTGAAGAGAAGAGAAAAAGAGTGGGTGAGGGAGGGGACCTAATGCTGGCTTATTTCAAGCATACTGAGGTGCCTACACCTCCAACCGCTCAATCAGACAATCTGGAAAGAAACTGAAAGCACGAACGCCACTGACATCGATTAACCGCCATTTCTTGCGACGTCTCCAGCCAAGCACAGATGGGGTCACGGGGACCCCATCCTGGAAGTCGCAC